GTGTGTGTGTGTGTGTGTGTGTGTGTGTGTGTGTGTGTGTGTTAGACCCGTGTGCTTATGTTTGTTTTGCATGCTCTTGTTTGACCCACCCTGGATGTGCTTTTCCACTCTGAGTGGTTGAGGGAAAGCTCATAAAATCTTTACAGTGCAGGGATGGCAAACTGCCTCCATGTTGTAAGAATCAAACTCCACGACAACCGTGTGTGGTGTAATTAAATCAGACAGCAGGTTATTATTATGTTTAACATATCTAAATGCCAACAAGATCACATCATGCCACGAGCAGCTTAATTGCTTTGAAATGAGCGTGGATTGTGACCTGCTGGAATCAAACATATTATTCATCATGTCTCTTTCTCTCTCTCATTCTTGTTCAGATGCAGTAATGGAGCAGCTATTATTTCTTATAATTTTCTACTTGCTTCCTACTCTCATCTCGTCCATACATAATTCAACGACCGGAGGTAATGTGTGTGTGTGTGTGTGTGTGTGTGTGTGTGTGTGTGTATGGTTTCTGCTCCGTGCATGTTGAATTTAACACCACAGAATGTCTAAAGTGGCCCACCTCTGTTGCTTTGTGAGATTAAAGGGTGTTCTGTTTAGATTCTGTAAACTGAGTTTCATAGATTTCAAAGAGCTATCTGCCCTCAGTCCTCATGTTCAGCCGGAACTATAGAAAGAAAAAATGGATTGCCATGTCAGTTCTCCCTTTTCATTGTGAAAGCAATATATAGCCTACACAATCTTGATGAATCAAAGCAATTCAATGTCTTATACAGTTCAGTTCACAAGTGTACATGCCCCTTGCAAGATGTGAAAATGTTTATATATATAATATGTGAGAACTATTTGACATAAAATGTGATCATAAATTGCACAAGACAAAAATAATTAGTAGTACTGAATTTGTAAACCAAATGAATGTAAACTTTTGAACACAATTATTTTATACTTTTTTTTAAATTTTTTATTATTATTATTTTTAATGTGATTATCTGTGAATCTTTCTGCAGGTTACATAGTTATGCCAGTAGTTGGCGAGTGAGTCCATGAATCATTGACTGATTGATTGATACCAGCTTGCAATATTCTTTCTATAAGGTTACTCAATTTTAACTTATTGTTCATTGAATTGTTATATAAAAGCAACATCACACTCACAATTGTGCTGTTGCTTTGAACATTTGCTCATTAGATTTGCTTAAATATCTGTTTCTCAGGGCTGTACGCAATATAAAATATATATTTTTTAATATATCTCTTTTTTTAAGTGCTAAGCATCTTAAAGATTCTCCAAGGGGTATGAACACTGTATTTTGATATGAGACAGTACTAATAAATTCCTTATAATCCATCACTGCATTACAGACGTGCAAGGGGACTCCGATATAAATTTAACTGGAACATCTGTCATTTTTGTTTATTGATGTAAGTTTGTGCATTGTGACTAAGCTGAAAACATTTCATCTCTATTCGTTTCATCCTCCCCCATCTCTCTTACTCTCTTTCAGGATGTGCAATCATTCGTCCCCCCAGAGACGGAGGGATTCGCTACAGAGGACTGACTCAGGAACAGGTAAATGTCTACGGCAGCACATTAAACTGGCAGTCATAAACATCAGTGTCAGTTCTGATGGGACTATGACCCATAGCAACGTCTAATTCAGTCTACAAAACGTCGCTCTTTCGCTCTCTCTGTAGATCCGCAGTGTGCAGATCTTGCCAGTAGACTATGAGATAGAATATATCTGTAGAGGAAGCAGAGTTATTGTGGGGCCCAAGGTCCGAAAGTGCCTCCCCAATGGCACCTGGACTGACATGAACCAGCTCAGCAGATGCTGTAAGTGCCCTTTCTATCCTATTGTATCGATTAATATCTATACTCACACCGTGTCTACACCGGACGCGAGCGAATATACAATAGATATTCGACAAAATACAATAGAACAATAGAACCTATTATGCTGTCTACACTGGATGCGGCGCGGCGCGACAAATTCCCGACAGTAAACTGCTGCTGCGTTCTATTTATGACGTACTGACACAAATTTCAAATGTTTTTTAATGGTTGCTTTGTCGCGTCCAGTGTAGACAGACTTTAGCTGTTGCGGCGCGGCGCGACACTACAACTGTCACATCCGGTGTAGACGTGGTGTAATACACGGCTCTGTGGAATTCTGGATTCTGATGGTCAATAACAGCATTCTAAGGTCAAATTCTAAATAAATGAACTAAACTGTATAATAACTAGAACTATATTGGAATAATTAACAGTTTCTCTTGTAATATTTCTTATATAGTTCCACAGTCCTCTCACACACACACACACAGGCACAATGGTTTTTATACTGTACAAACTGTATGTGCTATTGCCCTACACCACCCTACACCTAAACCTACCTCTTACATGATACTTTATGCATTTTTACTTTCTCAAAAAAAAAACTCACTCTGTATGATTTATATTTTGAAAAATGGGGTCATGGGGTAATGTCCTCATAAGTCACCTTCTCCTTGTAATACCTATGTCATACCCATGTCATTATACAAATTTGTGTCCTCATATGTCACAAAAATGCACACACACACACACACACACCATTTTATTAAAATGTAATTGTCTGTGTGTTAGTGGCGTTACACTTTAAGGCTGTGTAATTTCAAGTTTGTATAAATGTGCTAAAAGGATGTGAGATGTGCTAAACGTGTTGCTAAAATTCTCAGTATTGGTTTGCTCGCGTTCCTGGGTGTCTCTGGAGAACGGGAGGGTGGCGCTGCATCCCCCTGGACAACCAATAGAGGGCACAGTTCTTCACTACAGCTGTCATGCTGGCTTCCTATTGGAGGGTTTCAGTATCTCACACTGTACCAAGCTGGGCAAATGGGACTCTCCTAAACCACTCTGTGTCTGTGAGTATGTTTATGATTTAACGGTCAATCACACAAACACAATGTATTTGTTTCCCTAATATGAATCATTTTAACCCTATGTGGCTCTTGTTTTCTTTTGTGCATCATCAGATGACAGTAATTATACAGGTAAGACGTAAAATAATCTAATATGGTTATTTCATTTCTTATGTCAGAGGTCACATTTCCCAAGACTGTGTCCTAGGTCACATCTCATTTCAGAGATCACATTTACAAAGAATTTCCCTAAATGCTGTTATTTTACAGCTCATATCTGTTTATCACTTGACAGTCCACTAAAAACAAATAGCAGAGTGTAAAATGTGACCCTGGACCACAAAACCAGTCATAAGGGTACATTTTTTTTAATTGAATTTAAATTTTAAATATACAATGTTTTTTTGGCTATTGCTAAAAATATACCCAAGCGACTTAAGACTGGTTTTGTGCTCATTTTGTGAAGGGTCACAAATGAGAATGTAAAAATATTAATAAGCTATTTTTTAATATATATATTTATTTACATATTCAAATTGTAGACCACAGTTCCGTCGGTTGAAAATCTAAATTGTAATGCTTAGTTCAACCACAAGAGGGCTGTATTTTACCATCAGTCGTTTGAAAACTGCTCCCTCAATTCTTCAAATAATTTCTATTATTTTAGTGCCGTGTCTCTCCCTCAGTTAAAATGTATATGAAAGTGTGTGTGTGTGTATATAGATATTATACATTATCATGTTCATAAATTCATTTAGTTTTACCATCCAGACCATTTCTGTTCCTCAGACTATTGCTCAATTAAAGCAGCACTATGTAACTTTTTCTGTGTTCAAAATTTGCAAAATGTATATAATGAGCGAGTACATCATGAATTCATCTTCCAAACCGCGTTTTTGTCTTATTCCGAATCACTACGGTACACTTATAATAAGTACTTATATTTGGACTATTGTAGCCTGGTCGGGTCGTCACCGCTGCGGAGTAACACACCTGCGTGAATCGCCAGAGACATAAACTTAGAGAAGTAGCTCCGGTTGGAATGTTCTTTCGCGGGATGTGTGCAGGTCTGTTTATTAACCGCTAGAGCGCCAAAAGTTACATAGTGCTGCTTTAAATAATTTATTTGTGAACTCTTGTGTTACGCGGTGGACACACTTTAAGATCCTATTTATTTATTTGATCAACAACTAGATTTTCAGTTACAGTTTTTCTCAGTTGCTTCTTAAATCGTTCCTTCAATTTGCAAACCAGTATGTGCATTTCTCGAAATAATTTGTACAATCAGCACCACACAATGGATTACTTGCAAAAGCCTGTAACTTAATCAAAATCCTTAGTTCATCTCTCAAAAGAAAGTATTTATGCCAATGACCATGTCCTGACAAGTGAATAAGTTCTTTTATACAAATATAGACTGTATATATGTATACTTATGTGTGTGTGTGTGTGTGTGTGTATTTGTATAAAGTATATTTACAGTATAATGTAAAATGCAAGTGGACTAATATGAAGCATTAAAGTAAGTATACAGTATTACAGTACATTGCACATTGTTTGATTACATTACATGGGGGGGTGTAAGACTATTTAACAGAGAACCAGTATAATATAGTTTGATCAACATGATATAAGCAACTGATATGGGAAAGAGCAGACAATTGTACATAATCAGTTGCATGAATGTACAAAGGCATTCACAATTTGTTCAAAAGAATGAGAAACTGCTATTATGATGTGCCTAGATGAGGTAGAGGTTGAACAAGTAGTTTTGAGAATTTCAATTATGTTCTGAGAAAGTACCCAGGCGACTGAGAAAAACTGTAAAATGTATATGAATCTGCATGACAGTGATCCTGTGAGTTTTCACCGTTTTTCTCACCAAATTTATACCTTCGCAGGTTTCTTTTGAATTGGTCATAAAGTGTGGCAAATATGTTTTAAGACCTCATTGAGGGCCATTCTCATTCTTGAAACCATTTGATTGGTCAGAAATCTTGGTCGTGCAGGATGAGTCATCAATCATTTTTTTCTCTTTTCCCAGAAGTGAAAACTTTTGTACATTTTTATATGTATATATAATGCTTAGTACACTAACATATACAGTAGATGACTTCAAGGCTAACACATTTGGTCTAAAAGCTACAAAACTCTCATTGTGATGTCACAGGGTTTTGAAAAGTACAAATATTCCATGTATACATGACAAACATTCCATTTATATAATGTCATATAAGCTTCATGCATAATGATAATAAAGAATGAGCAAAATGCTGTTTAAAATGGTTTTAGATACAGCATAGAATAAAGGACATCAAATTCATGTCAACTTCCCCACTATACAATCTCATTATAATTTTTCAGGCTGCCAGAGTCTCTCAGCATTAACCCAAGCGCTTCTGCAAGCACGACTGTAGCACCCTCTCATTCATCTGTCCCTCCCTCTTATTGCCTTCCATTCCTCTCAATCCCTCTGTGCTTTCTTTAATTTCCCCTCGTTTCTTTCAGCTCTGCTGATTTAGACTATCAAGCCTCACGAATGCACTCTCTCTCTCGACTCCCTCTGTTAACTCACAGCGAGAGATCGCCGCCTACTTAGTGCACTCTCAGCAGGCTGAAGATTAACACTCGGCCAGTGTTTAGCTCTGTGTGTATTTCTGCTCTGTGTGTATATGAATGTATATGAGGTTATGTGTGTATCTCCGCACAGTGTGTGTTTAGGTGTGTGTCTGCATAAATTCGAGCCTGTGTGTACGGGGTGGTGATTACATCGCTTTTACTGTGGTTGTTAAATGGTAATTCAGCATAAAGGTGACCTTTTGTTTGCCAGCCCTTTATAAACCCCTCTATAGGATGTTGTTGCTTTATGAACAAGAACTGACCTTGTACATAAAATCACATTCTGTTTTGTAAACATATTTATATATCACATAAACTAATGGGTAATTATATATCCTCACAGGAGGCTCTGCTGGCCTTTCTTTTATTAAATAACAACTAAAGATCAGGGATGAATAATTAATGACTGGCATATGGAGAGAGCGGATTCAAAGGGAGCTCCAAATGTCACTAGAGCATCTCCGGTCCTGAGGTTCACGGTAGCTCAAGTAATCTTCAACTCTACTCTGTTGTTTTAGAGTATTTAGTGTGAATAGGAGAATCCAGAGAGTTGTGGGGCAATTAAAGTTATCTACATGATGTGGTGTCAATATTGGCAAGTACTGTATGTTCTGATTCAGTGGAAGTGAAGTGTAAGTGCACCATGAGATCACATGGATAGAATTATTTGATGGATGGATGAATAGAGGAATCTTTCTTGATTTTTAGTTTTTTTTTATCATGATGTGAAAAGGTTGCCAAACAAAAAAAGTCAAAATAAAGAACTTATATATATATATATATATATATATATATAGTATTATTATTATTATTATGGACACTTTGCAAATTTATAATTACAAAGGCATGAGCTTTTGTGTGTGTATATATATATATATATATAT